AGAACGAAAATTATGGTAACAAGTTTGGGTGAAAAAGGATTTTGCACGAATTTCTGTGATGTGAATGATATTGACTATCATCAAATTCAAAATAATGGCTTCTATGCGGGTGAAAAGTTGGTTTCATTTGCAGAATTTTACAATTCTATTAATTTCAACATTGTGAATATGATGATTTACGATGAAAATTGGATTTGAAAAAATTTAAATGTCTAGAATTTTTAAATTAGAAATACCTTAGCATATGCGCTACTATTAAGTTCAAGTTTAATTTATTAAAAATTAATATTGTTAATAATTTACAGAAAATTGGCAACTGTAGGTAAACGAGGCAAGAAATCACCCTCATGGTCCGATTTTCATTTTCCACCTCCACCTTCAGGTGAATTTATTGATGGTTCATTTTAATTAATTATAACATATGAATTTATCTAATCGAATGACAAAGGATAAATTAAATGGATTGAGGCTTAGCATTTAAAGCTCTTTCCAAATATCAATTCGTAATTATAATTCTATCAAGTTTTACAAGCTAAATTTTACTGCAAGACATATTGTACATATATGTTTTAAAAAAAAGTAACTGGGTGACGAGAAATAAAATAATTTTTGATGAAATGCATCATATTTAAAATTACAAATATACTACAGATATTTAAGTGAGTATCAGTAAAAAATTTACAGATAAATATGGTATCAATGAATCAATAATCGAACCATTGCTGATACCTAAAATACCTGTGTCACCTGTTATTATCAGTACACAGAGTTCAAGAGATGATCAAATAAGACCAAAAAAGTAAATTTATTCTCATAAATAAATTCTTATTTTATGCATAAAAATTAACTGAATCAAAATAACTTTTCTAATTACTGTTTTAAAAATGCTTTTCCAATATGTGAAGAAGTAAACAAGTAAAAAAATATTAAAAAATGAAAAAAGAGATTCAAATAAAAAATTTAGAATAAAAAAATTAAATAATTAAGCAAATTTTGGAAAAAATTAATAAAGCAAACAAACAAAAATCTTAAAAAAAAAAACATGATCAATCAGATCTTTTTTTTTTAAAGAAAAAAAGGATTTCATCAAATTTGATTATCTTTTCACTTTTAATTAACTTGAAAATTCAATATTTTTAAGGATTAGCAATGGTGATAGCTTACACTATGCTACTGCGGCTGTTCAAATTTCCGATTGGTATATTTAATAGTTTTTTTTTCTTTATTCTTAAACTTTTCCATTTCAATATTTCTTTTATTACTGCTCTAAAAAAGGAATCCATTGATTTCATTTAAAATTTTTTAATCTTTCTAAAACAATGTAAAGTTTTGTTTTTAGTAAGATGAAACGAAGAATTGAGAAATTCTGCCTGGATCAGGTTATGTTAGGTTCTGAATTAGGCCGTGGAAGGTTTACAGTGATTCGATCATGTTCCATTAATGGCAATAATTATGCTGCAAAGATAATAACAGATATGAATAAGCATATGATGTAATCCTTTAAATTATTTTGTCAATTGTTTCTCTTTTTTTGCGGTTGATGAATCTGAAAATGAAAATGCTAAGTAATCGGAAGCAAAAAACCTATCCAAAATCAAAATATGCCTTTTTATTTCTGATGGTACAATAAGGAATTCTGTTTGCTTTTTTTTCAACCAATTATATTTTCACTCAAACATTTGTAACGAACATGAATATATGATATCAAATTAGCGCTAACTCAATACCAATCTGAAATTTGCAAATGAACATAGGGTAAGAGAAGAGATGATTAAATTTTAGTTGTATTTTGCAAGAATGAAAAGTTCATTGTTCTTTAGTCAAATTTTGAAGATGAATGGATGTTTTTAATCATTCTCAATTTAGAAATCTTTTTTTTTTTTCAAAATCCTTTAATGAAAATATTATTGAAGAGAAATATTATGTAATAACAGTAAATTAATTGTTAGCATTTATCAAATAATTTCAATATTCGTTCATTATTTTTCTTGGAATTTTAGGAGTGTCTTCAATGATGAAATGAAAATATTATCAAAAATTGATCATGAAAATATCATTAAGGTTAGCATTCAAAAAAGTTTTATTTTTGTCAACAAATGTTATCTTGAAGGAAATTTTTTTTTGCATTCACTCAATGGTTTAACCTTTGCTTAGTGTTTTAGCTGACAAAAGATAGTCTGATTGAAGTTTTTGATAAGATATCAGATATCTGCAGAGATAATCGAGGATAATTACTGAATAGTATAAGTTTTAACATAAATGAATTATTGTTTAATAATATAAATTAAAATCCAATTTATAGCTTTATGGTATTGATGATAATTCAACAATGTATCTTGAGTTAGCGCTGTATGGAAATATACGACAGTATTTGATTCATAAGCCTCAGGCCAAGTATGAATTGCCGTTCATTTGTAATATTTTTTCAATTAGCAAAAAAAACAACCCCTTTTGCTAATAGTTTCTTTTCATCTCTCCTAATCAACTATATATTTTACGTTTTAATTATTTATTTCCTTCACTTTATTTGCACTTTTTTCCAGCTATTTAAATATGTTACAATTAATGATGGAATTATCCAATGGAATGAAATATTTGGAGCAAAGGGAAATTGTTCATGGACATTTATCGCCTCAATGCATATTGATTGATCAGCATGAAAGGATCAAAATAGCATCACCACGTGGACATCTTCATCACGCTCAACTACGTTACAGTGCTCCAGAATCTGTTATTGCTGTTTGTTTAAACTTCTAATAATATTTCAATTTTGTAAATTTTAATTCACGAAAACTAAAATTTATGCTTTTCTTTCTAATGAAAGTTCCGTTAGCATCAAATAATAATTTTAAATAAAAAGCAAAAATTGCTTTTTGATAATTCAAAGTAAACAAATTTAAAATTTTGCAAATAAATAAAAAAGTAATACCTGTAGGAATATAATGGTTATTAAAAATATTCACAGATAATGAAAAGAATTTTAATTGATAAATATACAAAATGGCTTTTAAATGGAAAAGGAAAAGCGAAAAGAAAGAGAGGGAGAAAGAGAGAGAGGGCATTGTTTTTTTTTTTTAAATTATAAAGGAATATTTTAGGCAATTTTAGTGGAAGTGAATAATTATGAGTTATATTATTTAAATTCATTTATCATAAAATTTATTGCAGAAAAACATAGAATTAAATTTCTGACAAATATTTATTGCTGCTTTAGAATGAATGGAGCAATAAAAGTGATGTTTGGTCATTTGCAATAACAGCTTGGGAAGTTTTCAGTCATTGTACGGCAATACCGTTTGCTGAATTGACAAATGCTCAACTGCTTGAAAATGCTAAACATATCTATAGTGGACATAATGCGGTTAATCTTTTCCATCTGTTTGCTTTAAAAAGTTTAAATTTGATTACAGATAAGTTTAACATCATTTAAATTGTATAATAATGCATTTGCTTGTAATTTATTTTATAAATGTTCAAATATATTGCAGTTAAATGATTTAACTATAATTTTAGCGTTCTTCAAATGTTTATTTACAGGCAATGTTTTTATAAGATTGCAAGCTATAACTTTTTTTTTAGTATAGCTTACAATTTAAAGTAACTTTTACCTTCTTCCTTTTCCAAGAAAAAAAAATTGTGCTTGGTACTGATTCATCAATTTAAATTTCCCTCACAACTCTTATGATATCTAATTTTTTCGAAACAAAATAATGAAAAATTAAGTGCTAAAAAAAATTAGAAAAAGTAAATATCATAAATTTGAAAATGTCAAATATTACAAAAATGTTATCATTCTGTGATAAGCCAAACATTATTCAAGTAAAAAATAATTTATTCAAAATTTTTGCACAACTAAAATTTTTTTTTTAAATTATTATTGCTACACTTTTTCGTGACACTTTCTCTGAGTCATTCGAATAAAAATAATGAAAAATGAAGTGCAAAAAAGTAATACTGGGAAAATCTATTTGAAAAAAAGCATTGAAGTGATGGAAATATTTTCACTTCAATTGCTATACTTAATAATAGTACTTTGAAAATACTTTTAGTTAATTAAAAAAATAAAAAGCATTTCAAGTTTTATGAGTACTAAAGAAATGTAATTATGTCATTGACAATAAAATTCAAATAGTCTAGTTCTTCAATGATAAGATTACAATTTTAGTAATATAATTAAAATGCAGAAATTTTTGTAAATCATTAATTGTTGTCATGAATTTATTATTAAAATGGTAGAAATAATGGAGCATTATGAATTAAATTTTTCACACAATAATGTTTTTTTGTTTTTTGTTTTTTAAGATAAAGCAAATTTTGTGATCATCGGGTAGGACAAACAAAAATATTTAGAGTGATGCTTGAGGATTAACTAGCAAATTTATCAGGTGATTTTTAAACAAAATTAATTAGTTTAAGAAAAAACGTTTTCTTTGGAAATAAAATTCGACAATAATTCTAAACTTTAATTATTATACTTTTAGATATATCTGGAGCTTCCTTTGAATTTACCTCAACAGGTATCGAATCTCATTAGCGAATGCTGGCAAAGGACACCAAGCGATCGACCAACATTTCTTGAAATTCATTACATTCTATCGATGAATAATTCGGGTTTACTTATTTCTGAAAAAGGGTAATGCACTTATTTTATCTTCCGTTGCAAATTTGTTTGAAATTTATAAAATTCCTTTAACGTTTTCATTCAATCTTGCATTAGAATTTGAACTTCATTGAAAATTGGATAATAACGAATGATACAGCAGCTTTTCTCTCACTTGCTTTAGCTTTGATCGATGAAATTGACGAACAAAGCTTTATGCATTCCAATTTAAATTTGAAATATACACATTAAATGTTAAAAAATATAGCGATTTTTTTTTCTAATTCAATATTTTTATGGTCATTTTCATATTTGCCCTTTTCTTATGAAATGAAAAGCTTCACTAAGCTATTCTGATGGTTGTTTATAAATTCATCTCCTCATAAGCGAATGCAAATCCTTTTTTGATAACCAAAAAATAAAATTACTAAAATTACAATAAGTTTGTTTAGTCAACTGTTTGTCTATATTACTTGTGTGTAATATATAAAATGTTATTGTTTTTTTTTTTTTGCTCCTACAACGATAAAAATGTTAAAAAAAATTTTTTTCATAATGCTTACTATACATTTTATTAGAAACAGCTGCAACTGAAAAAGATAAATTTCTTAGTTTGAATCGATACCATATGAATTTACTAAGCAAGTTTAATCATTTCGGATAAATGTGAAAGAAATTTGCAAATTTAACCGCTTCATCGATATTTATCGTTGACATGATTTGAAGGTAACATTTCACATTTCAGTTTACAGCGTGTTTTTTTTTTTTTCAATTTAGCTTACCGGAAATTTTTAGCCTTTGTTCACTGCAATAAATTGTCATGAAAATTGAAATTCTGGTATAAATGATTGTGCATGAGTATTTTATAAATCCAGGAAATACAAAGTCCAATTTTGTGCAAGAATATTTTCACCAAAAAAAAAAGAAAATAAAAGTAGAACCCAACGGATTTAAAATGACTGGCAATAATAGTAATTCAAAAAGTTTGTCTTTAATTCAAAAAAAAAAAATTTATCCATCTAATTGTTTTAATGCGGTCCTGTTTGTAGTGCTAAAGATAGTATTGTTCAGTAGGAGCCTCTGAAAAAAAAGAAAGTAGGAGCTTTCAAAAAAAAAAAAAAAAAATCTTCGATCCAAAACCGGTCGAAGATATTTCTTTTAGCTATTGTTATTGACAGCTGAATGATTGGACCGGTAGCGACGATAAACTCTCATTAAGAAATTTTTCATAATTTAAGAATGGGTGCGCAATTACCAGGAAAAAAATGTATTCATTGAAAATTTGCTCTTTTTCCTGCAGATGCTAAATGGAAAATTTACTGCTTAATGGCTTCAAACAGTTAAGCGTTAAGCAACGGAATATCGCTACTTGTAAATGTTAAATATTTTCAATTTAATCATATCTGAACTGTTCACTCAAATTTTAATAAAAGTTTCGATGCAATTACACCCTCACATTTAGAATATTTCAAAACAGCTTCAGGACCCTGAAAAATCGTCCTTCTCTCTATCAGTGACAAAATGATTTATTTACTGCGTGTGTAAAAATCTATTGAATCGTCGAGGATGACAGTTTTTCCGTTCATCCCTTTATTGGATGAGTGTTTTTTCGTTCGCAATATTTTCCGATCAATCACCAAAATCTGACCTAAAAATGTTGGCAACTTGCACAAATGATAAAGATTGATAATTCTAAGCTTCAATTAAGCTCATGTTACACTTTCAATGACAAAGAAGATATATTTCAAGTAAATCCCACTTAAATTAAAAACAATCAAGTTCAATTTACAGTTACTTAAATCTTTAAAATTTAATCGTAAAACCGGTTATCTTCTACAACATGAGGATAATTCAACTGATGGGATTTGTTATCACAGCTTTCAATTGTTTATTATCACAGCTTTCATTGCAGATAATAATACCACTTGAGGTCAAAAGTCAAAAATTTCAAAAAGTTTTAGAGTAAATAAATGAATATTCCTTGTGATTATCGTCTTACCCATTATTATACTCTCTTTCTCACAGTAAATATTTCCCCTCTTCCAAATATTTCCCGTTTTTTTTGTTCGTGAATATCACCATCGATCATCCAATTTTAAAATTCAAAATTCAAAAAAAAAACTGTTTCTATTATCTTATCTAAAATCCTACTAATTTTGATGATAGCAATGAAAACGTACACGTTGTGATGTCCAATTTTTTATCGCACAAAAAAAAAACGGTTAGTTGTTTACGATTTCCAGTAATGAACAAATACCATCCGTATTTATTAAAGAATTCTCCCTCTCTTTCTCTCTTTCTCTCTCTCTCCTCCCAATGAAATGTATTAGCAGTTTGTGATACATTGAGAGATATTCACACGTACTTCGTATTTTATTTAAAAAATCAATTCATTCAATTTTTTTCATGAAATATTAAGCCGCTCCAATCTATCTCTGTAAAATGTTTCAGTGAGGAGAGTGAATGAAGATAAGAGGGCTTATACAAGCCATATTATCAATGATAATCTCTGTGATACTATCAACTACCATACTTCATCAACATATCGCTAAATCTGATAGCATTTATCAAAAAAAAGAAAAAATTTTTAGAGCAAATTACACTTGCTTACTAGTCTATTTTTTTTCAGATTTAATTTCTTTTTTCAAATTTAATTTCCAATGAACATAAACATATTTTATCAACAATTAATTTTCTTACATTGTACTTCAGACTTTCTTCACACCTTTAATGGTTCTTGCTTTTCTCCCTACAAATCATCTCCCCTAACTCGTCCTCACGATAAGAGGGATAAGGAGGGATGTAGAGAGAAAATGTCACTCTCATCCTCTCTCCTTTGTCCACTGTGACCTCCCTCCTCAGTATCACATCTCCCAAAAAGTGCTAACGACATCATCAAACGTCCATTCATACTATTACTCCACATCATTTTTGCACAACGACAAACGAGAGCCACGTATAGCACGAAGACGGAGAGAGAGAGGGAGAGAGGAAGAGAAGGAAATATGCAGAAAAGCTATACGTATAGTGGATAGGATAAGAGTAGGTATAGGTGAAAAGTAAGGTAGGGTAAAGGAGGGTAGAATATGGGATGAGGTATGGGTAAGGGTGAGGGTAAGGTAAGGGTAAGGTAAGGGTAGATGAGAGTGAAGGTAAAGTTAGGAGCAGGAAAGAGGGAGCAGGAAAGGATTGGGTCGATGAATTTGTTGTGGTGCTGCCATTCCGATGCTGCTCGTCGTTGTCGTCCCGCTTGTCACGAGAGGTTATTCTCTACCTCCCTGCGTCAATATGCTCCTTTCAAGCTTACCGTTCTGCGCTCACATACACAGACAGAGAAACACGCACACTCACACGTTCATACACACACACACACATATCGTGGCAATGTGGGATACATAGACAGACCGACTGGCTACGACACGAATAGCCTTCTTCCCCCCATCAATTGCATTGATCGTATGTGTGGTGTGTGTATGTAAATACGTGTAGATAACAGGCCGAACACGGAGAGCGCAGAGAGTGTAACACAACGATTGCAGCAACAGCAGCACTGCCACGGCAACAGCAACGATATGTTGACGTACGTTGCGTTGCGGACACGCGCGCGCACGCCCCACCCGACAGCATCACTACTATCTTCATCAGCATCCGCGACGGCGGTGGCACTGACAGCAGCACAATACGAGAGAGAGAGAGAGGGGCCTCTGCTTTTACCACCCATTACGTCCTAACCGAGTTTATCCAACCTGTAATACCAAATTATCACATAACTGTTGGTAAGTGCAGACTTGTTTAATTTATTAAATTCCATTTAGCTTCTATCCCGTTCAGGTTATTTTTAACAAGTATGATAACTCTATGAAAATATTTCGTTGCAAATACACGTACGTTTGTTTTGCACGGAATATTTTCATGTAGATAAATGTTTCACAGACAGAGAAAAGAAGGAAAACGTATTAGTAAGGTATCATCAAATCGATGTGGCATTCGTGCTGAAATACAGAGATGTATGTTTTTGGTAAGCGTAACAGAACTAACCGCCATCTCTGTCCATCGATAGGGTGGGAAGTTCATCACAGTTTGCTCCAATGTTAGGTGCAGAGGACAATATTCCAATCGTAAAAATGTGTAACCGTAAGTGATCGCTTCTTTTTGGTCTACCTTGTTGCATTCGTAACGTAAGCAACGGATAGTGATGAGCGGTTCTTGCGCTCGATCATATAGCTCACTATGAGCATTCTGCTATTTTGCGGGAAACTTTTCAAATTTTAAATGATTAATCTTCCAATTTCTTTACCTATTTCACCAAATACATGTTGACACATTATGAGTAATATCACTATCATTTTGTATTTATGTATTATGTACCTCTAACAAGATTACATGGTATAGTAGTGTTACAGTTGCATGCTATACTTAGAAAGAAGTAATATCAACCGATTATGTACCTCCTCCTTATAATCATTTATTGATTTAAGCTGCAATTGCTTAGATAATATTTTAGTTTTAATTAATCAACACTTTTTGTTTTGCTACAACATTGACAAGAGCTCTCCATATTGTTTTAGATCAATGAATGATTGTCGAATATGCAGTAGCAATTGTTTATATCATTGAAAAGATTTGAATTAAAAGAAGTAATGATTGTGAATTATAGGTTATTCATTGAGAAAGTTGTGAAACGCATCAAATATGTCAGTTAATGGAGCGGATGATGGTGGCAGTACTACACCAGTAGATCTTAAAGCACCTATTTTAGAGGTTTATTTCAAATAAGTTATTAGAAAATTCGTATACCTATATGTAAGCTGGAGATATTTCTTGATTACATAGATGTTTCAAAAGTTGTCCATTCTTTGCATTATCCAGTTCCGTCTTTTTGGAACAAGTTTTGAAGAACTTTTCAACTCTAGATGTTTATTCAGAACTGTTTTAGAATGACCAGTAAATTTCTGTATCTTAAAATTCTAAGCCCTCATTTCATATGTGACAGTATTGAGACATAATTCTTTCATGCAATTTTTTTTCTATTCTTGACGATGGAAAGCTATTCAAAAATGACATTTTTGCAAACTTTGCTACTTTTTTTGTTAATTTATTGATACTTTCAGGTAAGGTGCGGGCATTTGGTGGCTCGTCTACACACTGAAAAGTTCGTCTGTCCGGGAATACATCAACCATGCATTGAGCTGGATGGTTTGTTTGTTTGTTTGTTTGTTGTTTATTTTTAATCGCAGACTCATTTGTATTGATTGTCAGGAAATTCTAAGGTAGTCAGATTGTGGTCATGCAGAATTATCGATCTTTAAACAATAATTATATGCACGCAAACAGTCATACCTTTGTAATTGGGACTTACGCGATGATGCCCGAACATTGCTTGTAATCGCGATATAGTTTTGTGAAACGCATTGAAATCAATTCTTCCGTTGCACTAGTATTGTCTACCGTGCCATAAACACTTTAATCCATCATGGATAAAGTACGATTCTCTTCATGTGATTTTGTGCGTTCCATCATATTGTATTCATTATTCTATGACAATTTATCACACGCATTTGATCTTTATGGCTTTGTTTGAAGGACATTAATACAAAAAGATATCACGCATACGATGCGCATATGCTGTCATATCCTTTCCGATTGTTTTGTTTAGGTGAATTGATCAGCCCCAAAGAATTTACAATACGTGCTAATAAGGATAAGCAAAAGGACTGGAAAGGAAGCATCCGTATTGGAAAATCAAATATGAGGTATTCTGATTCTTCTGTACTCTAAAAAATTCAGAAGAAAAAATATTACATATTGAGTTTGCACATTGTATAGTCGAACAGAGGGATGAAAGAATGTTTTGATTTACATTTTTGCTGAAATTATTATAAAGTTTGTAAGTAGTGCTTTCGTTGCAGAAATAAAATTAAGGATTTTAAAACTGTGGGTAAAGCGAGACTAAGGAAATTAAATCTTAAGAATTTTTTTTTTCAGTTACCGGTTCTCTTTTTCATAACATACTTCTTTAGAGCATTAATGGAAATGAAAAGCCTCGATTTTTACAATCACGAGAATTACTGTAGCGCCAAATGTCAGTCACGAAATTTTATGTCGTTTAAGAATCATCTTACTGAAGCATATTTAAACGCCGATTTACTTTATGGTGCGACGTCGTCTTCATTTGATGAAGATAAGAAAAGTGGCATTATGAGGTGAAACGCTTATCTCATTTCCGAAAAACACAAGCAAGAGGTTGGGGTGAATCACAGCTGATAGATGTCATTTGAAATTATTTCAAATTTCAATTTGGAACTCATAATTTTATGGTTGTAGTACGACCTCTTATCTTAATTTTTTGCAGCCTTTATTCACAAGTGAATGAACGGAGTAATTCGGTTGTTAATGGTATGTTTCTCATCCTACTTTTTATTTTTTAACGGCATTTTTGTTGATTATTCACTGGATCTTTAGTGATAGAGTAGCCAAATCGCAAAATTCCATTTAATTTTGTTTTAGCTGTATGGTTTGTTAGATGGAATAGAATGTGGTAAATTTTCTTTATATTTTAATTGTTCCATTTCTGTTTTGCAGCAATAATGTCAACGTTTATGAAGGGTCAGAAATTCGATGAAGATCTCATACCGGCAGAAGAAGATACAGCCGGTTCAAGTAACAGTGCCGTAATGGTGATGAAAAACCGTATGTTTTCATTAATAAATTTTTATGCTTTTTCATTAACTTAACTTTTGCTTCCCTTTCTTTCATGTTTTTTTTTCTCTCTTAATGCTGATTTTTCTTCATGCTAATTATGTGGTGTGACAGATAAAAGCTTTGAAAAATGTTGGTAGTGCTCAATTGACCTTGTGCTTACGAGAACATGCTGTCATTTAGATATAATACATAAGCAGTTTCTAAATTAATTCTATAAATCTTTTAGAACCAATTAAATTTTGGGCAGGAATGGATGAAATGGGACTTTTAAGTGATTTGACAGATGTTATGATCACTTCTATGGAACATCTTCGTCGCCTTGCACTGATGGGACCCTCACAAAGGGATGCAGGTAAACCAATTACCACTTTGTTAAGTAGTTACATTGCTTTGCTTTTGCTTTATAATTTAGCAATATTTATAACAAAACATGCACTAATTTCGAGTAGAACAATGTTTTTCCTACTTTGTTCTATCATGAACTGTGCTATAAAATTTTGATTTCATACTTTTCATACTGCTAATTATAAAGCAGAATGATCTTACGTTATCATATAGTTGGAGATTCTTTGCTAACATGAATTTAATTCCGCGTCTTCAAAAGTCTCTTGCAGTTGCTGAGAGATTGACTCGAGTTGCTGGCGCATTGGATTTGGACGAAACTATCGGTTCCAGGATACAAGCAGAGCGGCTTAATTGTACTGTGGAAACAAGTCTGTTGAGCAACGAAATTCAAGGTACACAAGTTTCATTATTTCAATTTAATCCCTATTCTTCATATTTATCGGCTTAGTCTTGAAAAAATTGTTAATGCTATAGGCATGTTTGAACGAATATTGACTGTTAAAACAATTCATTCCTGCTAACTGATTACTAAGCCGTTGCAATAGAAATGACAATAGGAGTGAAATGAAAACTACATGCTGATGGTTAGTAATGAGATATCTGTAAATCACTATTAAGCAGAACTGCAAAAGAAAACCGAAGTAAGCTGGCGTAGACTGGAAGAGTCACGACGGAAGGCGTCTCGTATTGATGACCTCTTCTGCGAGGATTCCTCACCAAGTGTACCAGGGAAACGTCGAAGACATTCCGCTGCAGCCCCTGCATGTGTTACAGTGTCAGCGATAACATCTGCACCTACTTCTGCTACTGCAACTGCAACTGCAGCACCAATCATCGATGAAAATAATGGCTTATCAATGGTGGAACAGTGAATTTCATCTGTTCTGTATATCATGTTTTCATTTTTTTTTGTCGAGTTACTGTTTCTTGTTTACTTTTCTATCGAATTTAAAATATATGACTTTATTTCGTTGTTTATTAAGCTATTAATGTAGAAGTCAGGCGAATTGTCGAACACTGGCTAAGAAGGTTATTTAAATCATCCCTTTTCTCACCTTTGCAAGACCATATTCAATCTTACCGGTGGTTGTTTTCATTCAAAACAAAATGATCTACGATATTTGATTTTCAGTAGATTGCAGATTGCAAAAAATTAGCATGAGGACATTAGTAATGAAAGTCTCGTGTTGGGCACCTTAAATTTTTTCAATCATTAAAAGAGTTTTACTTGATGAAACAAAACTTGGTCCAGTGCAAGTCTTATCTTTACTCTTTAAATCTGGTTTCAGAAGGAACTCTTTTTGCTAGTAGCTCTCAGTAAATACTCCAGAAATGTTGGAATATTAGTCTTTTTAATCCACATGAATGCCTATCAAAAATCATGAAACACTGCTTTCGTTAAAATTATTATATTGCAGGGATTCTGATGTCTATTGTTTTGGAGAAATTATAGTATTGACGAATACTATACTGTTTGCAACCCTTGAAAGAGGTTTTTGTTCAACAAATTTTGGTCCATCATTTAGAACATTTAGGCCATTTTCCGATCCTCATGGATTTTTGTGGTTTTTACTTTAATTAAACTATGAGAACGGTGATGGTTTAGAATTGTTTTGACTAGCAGTAAGCGTAGTCAATCTATATTCAGAGGTATTTTAAAAAGGATTATGCATAAGTCACATGATACTGGTGAGAAGCTTCTTTTCTGGGATGCTGTTACGTGACTGTCGTCGGAGATAAAATAATTATGATAAAAAAACTAAGTGGAACGCTCTGGCTTTATGCAGCAACTATATATGAAGTCTCAGTTTAGAAAGCTTGTTTCAGAGCATAATAAAAACTTACGGTTTTTTTTGATTCCTTAGTAAAAGGGCTATTACAGACAACTTTTTTCAGTCCTAGTGAGCTTGACTGTTTAGCATTTAATACTAATTTCACTTATTAAACGCTTATATCATCAAATTTAGAATTCTCTATATTTTTTTAACATTTGAATTGCCTAAGTAATGGTTTAAAGACTTAACGGGACTGTGTTCACATTTGTGATTTCGTCTCGCAACATGTTGGAAAAATCCTTGAATTAAGGAAGCAGCACCTATCAGAAATTTTTATAATAACAGAACTGTGAAGATTGATGACTGCTTAATTTTTGCTAAAATTAGCTATGTTGCTGAGCTCTATCAGTTGTAGATTTCACGTTACTCAGAAAGTGGATTGCTCAGTGAAGCTAGCAAATTTTAATTTCTTGCTCAGGCAGTCTCTTGTTTGAATTTTCACAGGTTGCTTCACTCACCACCTTTTCCTTGTATTCGACAGGGATGGGACGGGACGATATGATAATTCATAAATTGTTAGTAATTTCGATTCATTATATTAAAAGAAATGCTTAAACATAAATTTCCTCTACTCTCTATTAAATACTGATGATTTCTTTTGACTGAAGCAACCCAATAAACTGCTTTGCGAAGTTTGGATCTCTGTTTTTTATGCACTGTGCTATAGGCTATTTACAGAAAACGATTGTCAAGGCCTGTGTCAGTGTCGACTTTCTCATACTGCTTCTTTAAATCAATTTCGTTTGTTTTCTTTTATATATGTCATTAAACATTTAAAAAATATTTTTCTGTTTGTTATCTGCAGAATATAACATTTCAAGAAGCCATAAAAAAATGTTTTATGAAGCATTTAAATGTTATCGTGTTTTCCTGGTTGAAGAAATTTGGTTAGTACTTTTAAATGATATCTTTGATGGTGATGCCTTTAAATGGACTTGTTTTTTTATGTGCTGACGCTATTTCATCGAAATCATTAAGAACCATCAATTTATAATTTAAAAAGCAAGGGATTTATACTATAGCTAATAAATTTATATTAAGTAAAGTTATTTTTGCTTCGGAATGAATATTCTTGTTCCATTCTCTTCTCTTTTTCCTCATTCAAGAGTTATAGACAAATTTATCTCGTAAAATTTACCGAATGATGCTCAATCATTTCATGCAAGAAATCCTGGTGTAAATTTATTCAACTAAACAAAACTGAGGAACTGTTATATTTCGAAATTCTGGAGTTTCACTCGTCAGTGAACTGCTCCTAAAGATTTCAAAATTTTATTCATTTGTAAATTTCAAATCTCAGTTGTTTCTGATTTCCGAGTGGAATGCATTCGTATTTTACGATTATGGTATTTACTTTTTGAAGAACGAACTGTCCACAAACTGATCAATGGAATTTTACCACAAGTATTTTGTTACGCCATAAATCTATAAAATATTTTCACACATTATATAGTCTTCAACATATTGATGCAAATCATAAGATTGTAATCTTCATCATCAATTAGCTAATTTTATCAAAGTAGATAGGCGCAAATAATATTAAAGTTTCAGTCAGATAGATTAAACCTTTACTCTACATTTTACATTAGTTGTTGAAGCCCTAATAGTCTATTTTAGCTTCCTTAACATTCGTTAATGTTTTTCAGATAATAAGGAATGGTGGAGATTTTATTTACCTTTTTTTTAATGAGAAGTCACCTGACAGATAGGTGACGAAATGAGTGAAATGTATGAATGGAAAGTGAAGAGGTAAACATTTCTTTCTTTATCACGAATAATTACTTTATTTGCTAGAATATTTTTAGTGGTAGTAAACAGAATTCTGGTTTCAAATGCCTGGAAATTTAATAGTTTAAGTGATATTTGAATCACAATTGGTTGTTTAAGAAGTGGTGAAGATGTGAAAAAGAGCGAAAAAAAAAAACGTTCCATTATATCTTCAATGTTAACCATTGTTAAATTTGCAATACTCTACAAGCGATAATAACTTTAAAATAATCTTTCATGTATTTGAAATAATTCCTTTTTTAAATGATAAGCATATTTTCTTTGCATAGAATTTTCTTGAATGGATAGCTTGTTTATCAGTCTTGGAAAGTAACTCATATCATCAACAACTTAACCAATCAAATAAATTGCTTCAATGATTAATTGGGAAGAGTTGAGTGCTCAGTTGTTTTTGATTTTTATTTGAAATTAACCAAAAATTTACTGTACCTTTTTCATTCTTAACCTTCTTTCATACCAAAGCAGTATCAAAAATATATATATATTTGTAATTTGCGGAAAATATACAGTTAAAAAAGAATCGATTTATCGATTGATTTATAAGCATTAGCCTTAAAAATAAATATATAATAAATGAAACATGGAAAATAATTATTAAACAGTGGTGTAGAAATAGCAAGCGGTTGATGATCAAATCATAATGAATTATCAGAAACGATTTGATTATGAGATTACAACTGCCGATTTACTTCAAAAATTAAGGTTTCTAATCAATGATTATTTTAAATAATTTTATAACTAATTTCATAATTACCTTGTAAGATCGCTAAAAGTGCAGCAGGAATGTCAATATTAATTATTGGACTATTCCAGTGATGCTAATAAATGATGAAAAATGCTATCATTATGATAAGAATGATCAGTGATAATGTGATTAAAAATAAATAACATTGATAGAAATTAGTGAGAGAAATCGTAACATATATAATATTATTTTCAGAAATTTACATGATAGAAAATCTTATTTGAAATGTGACAAAAAAGTTATCATAATGTGTGGCTTCTTCGAGGACAGTCATTTATGCTACCATTTGCAACTGACAAATATGCATTCTACGGTTTTAAATTCAAAACAATTTCTAACAGATTTTTTCAACTTTTTCAAAGTTTCATGCATTAACGTCAAAATTCCTTCAAACAACAAATCTGTTTAATTAATTGGCTAAAAATAACAAAAGGGGCATATAAGTTAAAGTAAAATCAGGAAATTATTCATTATGGTGATTTTTTATTAGCAATATACATAATTGTTTTTTTAACAAACACTTGAAGATTTTCCAAGTCTTTTTTAGCTCATTAATTTTTATCATTTATAAGCGTTTTTTGTAATCTTTTCACATTTTTTAGAAAAATGGTCCCAATTAAAGTATAGTAATTAAAATTCCAAGAAATTCATTTCAATTTTGAATTTTACAAAATAAATTTGATTCATTACTTCTCATAATTTTTTTTTTTTCATTCTTGAATTATCAGATAAAAAATTCTAGCCGGTTATATTTAATGTCCAATATCCAAGTGGACGTGGTTTTGGTGCAACACCGCATATTGGTGTTGTAATGCCACAATGTAAAATAACCATTTATTGCACATTTCGATCGGAACGTGTTTCTCGGATACCTGATGATGGTATTTATATTTACAGTATTTTTCAAAAAGCTATTCACAGTGATAAATTTATCGATGCATACAGTAATAAGGAGAAAGAGCGAGTGGCACGAAAAGTAAGGAAAATTTTTCATTTCATCTACATTTTACAATTTATAAAAAGTGTTACAAATAAAAAAAAATCTCTTTAAAATGGAAAAAATTATAAGTGAAAAAATGTTTTTAGCTTTAAATAATGGAAATAAATTTTCTTTTTTATTGTTAAGATTTGGTCACAGCATCGCGGTGAATGTTTTGAGTGCCTTCGTCTTCCGGTAGGTTTTGAACCACGACGGCCAGCTATTCATGAACAACACATAGAATTGTACAGCGATGATTTATCCGGTAAACCTCAACAATCAACACCGAAACTCTCAAAAGAAGAAATGCCAACCAGTCAGCTATTATCTGCGGAAGAAATACGTTAAACGAAGCAAACTTCAATAATATTTTCAAAATATTCAATGCTATCATTTCTTTCGTCTAATAATGGAAATTTTAATTCTTTCTAAATTGTTCCTTTATAGAACTTTGACTTTGCAAATGATAAAAGTATTGAATTTTAGTAGAATAAACCTTTTCTGAAAATGTCTCATTATTTCAAAATTAAAATTCATAATACGAATTCATCATTTATCATCAAAATTTTGATCTTTAAAATAATATTTGCTAATAGCTGAAAAAGAAAGAGGAAAACCGGCTTCATTTAATTTATAATGAAGGCATAAAATGGGAATAAGAAGAGAGTATCGGAGAAATAAAGTTACATCATGACGGGAATGACAGAGAGCATCATGTCTCTTTGTCATTCCATCATGTCTCTAAAATTATTTTGAAATAGCTAAATTGTCAAACTAACAAAAAATTCCATTGTGTTTAATTTAAAAAAATGCTCAAATAATTGTATCCCATGCAGAAATAATCTTTAGCTCGATATGTTGGTTCATTTTACATTATATTAGCCTAATTCATTTGGCTTAATGGAAAAGTTAGCTTGAAATGCATTCGTTCATCAAAATAAAAGTTAGACTAAAAGCAGACAAGTATGTTGTGAACTTCAAATGAGAAGAACATTGGGAAAGTTTAAGTAAAATCAAATTTAGTTAAATTCCAGAAGATCGAGATTAATCCCATCGCCACAGTTATTCTCATCCGGCGCATTTGTATCCTTGGTTATGCGTTTTTAATAGTTTGCAATAAGTACGTGCCCGTACAAATGCGTGATTTCTAACGTACCTTTCGGTTCCAGATCACGTAAAACTTGCTCTTCTATTCGATCTTTTATCAAATCTTTTTCTTACTTCATACCATTTTTTATTTCATACCATTCAAAAATAGTTCAACATAACTATTTTTAACTTCATCACGCAGTTTTCATATTTTCTACTCTGAGCCTCGAACTTCCATCAGCTTTTACCATTTTTTTCGTTGTCAGATGATTCTTCTAAAATAGTATATTGTATCTTATCATGAGTATGATATGTATCTTATCAGTAATCAATTTCATGTCCTTCCGTTGCTCTGAATCGAAATATTGTTCTTCAAGTTGATTCATTTTAATTTTAAAAGCTTCAATTCAGCAGATCCAACATTTACGATCAGAAATGCAAAAGTTTCAACTTTATAATAAATGAGTTTTAATAAGTTGTAACAGTGTTTAGAAAGTATTCTCCAAAGTAATAAGCCATTTTATCAAGCAAAATTATATTTCTGCAACACTTTTTTACTGGAGTATTTCATTTAAAATTCCATGCCAAAAAAATAAGATATCCGAAGGGTTATAGCAAAAAGAATGCCATTTTAGTCTAAATAAATAAATAAACAAATTAATTGATTAATCAAATAATAAATAAATAAATAGAATGACATTCTGCAAAAAAATGGAAATTACTCAGTCCTTCCTCTCAATTCCAATCTTCCTATCTACAGATTCACGAATAAATCGTGTACTCATTGTTTTGAAATACAATTATTATTCTTGCCGGCTTTTTATCCAAATTTGAATCTCTCCAATTTTAGAGAGGAAGGATAAAGAGAAAATTAGATTTCTGCTACTTTCAAAAAATCTTTGAGATCCAAAAATTTAGAGATTAAAATTCTAAACCTAAACTTTCAGATGTTCGTTCAACAGATGAATGTTAATTCGTTCTACTCTTATTACACTACAGCAGAATAATTAACAATAAAAATTTAAAGAATCTCGTTATAACTAGATCAGGGTAACTAACATTAATATTTGCAGGAATAGTGATGAGAGGATCAAGAAAAGTGAATTCTTTATAATGTATCTCTTATAATCTTAAAAGAGTGGTTGTTGTTAGCTGATATCAGAAGGATATATGTGAGTGATGGATAAGAGTTTCGAGAAACAAAACTGAGAGATGTATTCTTCTGTTTAAATCATTGAACTATTCAATAATGTGGTCAAATAAGTAAGAATACTAGCAATATTATACATTTCCTGTATTCTATCATAAAGCGTCCAATTAATAGCAATTACACAAATAACTTAATGTATTATTTCACACAATCAGCAATTGTTCAAAAATATTCGAATTGAATTTTTTTTAGCTCATTTGACATAATTTTGAAATGCAACGATTCAATAGAGCATGAAAATCATTATTAGCCAAACAGTTTACTTTTCGAGTGGCATCGCTTCAGAAAATCTATTCTATTCTTGAGGTTAATGATTGAAACAAAAATATATCAGAAAAAGACTTGTCAGAATTTCGGAAAATATATCGGAAAAGGAATTTTAACAGTTGTTAAATTTTACTGTTGATCAATAAATAAATTACTGGAACAGCACTATGTAAATTTAAAGTAAACTTAATATAAAAATCAACTAAAAAGGAAAAGGCGGTACACGTAGAATAAATGTCCCGTATGATAATGTATGGGCATGCACATATAAATACAAGTAGAAAAGTATTAGCAAGAATTATTAAGCAAAAAATTTCCACTTAAAAAATAAGTTTCAAAAATTTTTCTAATTCTCCAGAAAAAAAAATGGCAATCACCTCACTGTGCAAAGTAACAATAGTACAAAGGAGATAAAAAAAAACTAATTACTGCGCACTAAATGACTCAAATAACACCTACATCTATCTTATCGATAACTTTTTATGTGAATCATCATTTTTCGAGTAATCAATAATTTTAATTCTGTAACAATAGTTAGCTCAAGAAATACGCAAATCCTTGCTTTGTTTTAAACATGCAGTGTTTATCCATTTCCATTTTAGACTAGATTTGTTGACTGTTATCAGTTATAGAATAAACTATGTAAGCTATAAGCAAGCGGAAACTTCGATTACAGAATATGTAGTGACGCGTAGCGGCAATACACAATAAAAAAGTGCTACATGGTCAATGAAACTTTAAACTCTAAAGAAAATTATGAAAAAATAAATCAAGCAGTTGAAGTGAGAGTTTCTGCTCCAGCTCCCCGTACAAAAAGAACTCGTGATAGGCCTGCTGTAAGCTCGTCTAGATAGTGCAAATAATCTGTGAAGCCTGAAATTTTAAAATGTCTTGCGAATTAGTTCATGCAAACCGTGTAACAATTGCAGAGAGCAAATAATCAAAAATTTTCCATTGTCTAGCGTGTTCTACAGGAAATGAATTCAAAATTGATTCGAGTACAAAAATAATACTATGATAGCTTTGTATATTCACTAATCTATTCTATGATTTGAAGTGTTTTCCTCGTTCGTTTAAAAATTCCACTACAACTAAAGACTTAAAGATTTTAATGCATTTGACAATTATAAATTAAAAAATATCAGACCTTCTTTCACTACGGGAGGCTTTGGAAGATTAAGTAGTATCAGTTGGCTTTTTTCGGACGTCTTTCTGAACAAAGCATTCAGACGAGTAGCTGTGTGCATTTTGTGAACCTAAAAACTGCATTTATTTATTTTTTTGCATTAATTATATGATAAAGTTGCTTCGTTACTTTTGTAAATAAATGGAAAAATTTGTTATGTAAAAAACTTATTCTATGAGAAACACAAATTTCATGAAATAGAAAGAGATGAAAGGGGAGGGAGAGAGAATGAGATAACATTGATTTCCTTTATGTTTCATCCATAATATCAACTTAAAATATTATAAGCAATGCATGGAGCTGAATCAAGATCAAATCTAGACTATCAAATTTTGATACAAACATAAATGACCGATCATAAAGATGAAAATGCAAACTTTTCGTCTGTCCAGATTCTGTAAACGCTTTATTCTTTCATTATCGTACTTGATATCTTCATCACGTATTCGCAGTTTCTTCACAATTTTCCTCCTGGAGAGTAATAAATAGCCTCAGAGAGCATTAACGAAGCATCCAGATAGCAGCAGCAAGTTATCTGTGCTACGACTTCATTAGGACAACACGGCGAGTTGCGGTAAAACTTGCACAGATATGTGTGATTTGGAAATTCGAAAACAAACCCTAATTCTGTCTCTGTCGGAAATGTCTGAATACTTCGATTTTCCATTACATTTACTGAAATAAGTCTTGTCAGATATATAATGTGACATTAAATGATGTATAATATGAAAAAAAATGATCCAAATAAAAACTGTAAGGAGGAAGGCCTAAATGATTCCAAAAACATTTGCAAATTACTTCAAAAGCTACAGTACCTTTTCGTATATCAAACTGATTTAAAAAACTTAAATTCTCAAGAATAAAAAATATATATATATACATAATCATTACAATCCAAACTGATATCGCTGGCGGTAGGATCGTCATCAGTTTCACGATCGATTGTGATAGCACCGGCATGTTTTTCAACGCAGAAACGATTTTTTTTTAGGGGCTACAAAAAAAGAAATTTTGTTTTGTTTTTGTTGTTTTGTTTTGTTTGTTTTGTGTGTTGTATATGAAACTTCTTATCGGACTGGTTACTTTCATGAATTTCATCAAAAATGCCGGGAATCATCTCTAAGTGTTTTCTAACTTTAATTCTGAATTTAAAATTCATTTCATATGAATAATTAAGTAAAAACTTCATGAATATTTACTTGGATCAAGAAAGCAAAAAAACAGTAATGAAACCTCAGTATTATCGACATCATTTGGTGCTTTATCACCAGATTCCTTCAGCGGTTTAGTATTTTTCTCCTCTATCGCCGCAAACTTTCTTGCTTCACGTGCCATTTGACTCCTTTCTTCCATCATTAATGTTCGCTCAAAGTCAGCTCGTGATATATTAGGATCACTTAATATATCTACCTAGAAATAACACCATGTAAAAACAAATTTTTAGCATTATTCATTTGTCTTATGCCTAATTTTTCAATATCATTGGCCTAATAGACCTTCTATAGAATATTGAATGCAATAACCATATGATAATGAGTTCACGTATTTGAAAGTGTAAACCTGCACAACAGCTTCAATGCGCATTGCTTTCAAGTAGAAATTAATCCTGCCAGTCATTTCGTTCTTTTCTTCACTATCACGAGCAATACCAATTACACGCAATTTACATCCACGCCACACCTGAATGTATGATCTTAATTTATGAGTGCTACATTAAATAACAGAATATTTTAACATATAAATGTCACAAATGAATTCTTTCCTTGATATATTTAGTGCAGAAATTGTCTTCCTCCTCTATTAGCAATACTATTCTGTATTTTGTAGCTCACCAGAAATAAGCTATATTGCATCAACTTCTATATGATTACGAATAAAGTGCTAACCTTATGATTCAACAATAAATGGGCAATTAACCCAAGAAAGCCTCGATCACGAATTATCCAGTATGCATCAACATAACCATCTCTTACCGGTTCACTTATGTAGGGAAAGTGTGATATATCTTTGGCCACAAGAAGACACATTTTCATGACATATCCAGCATGTAATTTGTCTAAAACTGTTTGGAAAATAAAAGATTAAAATCAAAAAAAAAAGTTCAAAACATACGGTATTACAAAAATTTTTTAGTCGCAAATGATAAGTTTTTGAATTTTTTCACTCGCAAATGATAAGTGGCTTCAAGCCGAGACCTCTTACGAGGTTATTCCTCTTGGATGGCACAGTTGCAAGTGTATATGTTATTTGATGAATAAATTTTCATAAAGACAAAATTAGCACAAAATTTTCAGATGCCATATAAAGAAAAAGAATTTTTTGAAAAAAAGAAAGCAATTTGGAGATCACCTGGCAGAGATTGATACTTAAAATTGGAGAAAAACACTAACCCACAAATGTTGAATATTCTGAATCAGACGGTTCAGAAGGCCAATCTGAGCCATATTTCGGCCATTTTAATAGCAACGTATTTGGACAAAGAGCACCAACTCCAGTACTTTGGATAACTGTCGAAATACTTCCACAGATCTGAAACTTTATAAATCTTCTAGATTACTTTAAATTACATGAATATAATTAAAAAAGCTGTTTCGCCTTCTTTCCCGTATTATCATATGTTTTATAATACCTGAGATCTGAAATAATATCCAAGTCTCAGGTGTCTCAGGTACTACATCTTGAAGAAATGTTTTATAATACCTGAGATTCGCCATACACAAGGGTTTTTGCAAATCCACGAAGCTTTGCTTCTTTCATGTATTCTTTTAACCGTTTCCGTATCTAGAAAAAATATATATAATTACATTGCTTTGTACTAAGAAATTACTTACATCATACTTTTCTATACTTTGAAGAAAAAAAATTATCAGAAGCTGCTATCAAAATATAAGTGTTTTCCACTGAATAATGATGATAAAAAGGTGATGAAAGTGATGAAACGAATTTTAAAAGATAACAGTTCCAATAAAAGTAGAAGATCGGATCATTTACCTCACTGGCGCTATTTTGATCATTCTCATCGAAAGGATTACCGCGGAGGAATGCGACAACCACGCACAATCCTTGGCTTGCTTTCAGTTGTGATGCCAAATGAAGCAATCGCTTGTAGCGTAAATCAGTTCGATCTTCCTGCCATTTTAGTGGAAAAAGGAGAAGCAACTGTGGCCTTAAGATATGACATATTTCAAATACTGATAATACATGCAGAAAATAAGGTACAGAAGCAACGATATGTATATAAAGTAACCACCTGAAATCTTTTGGATGTGACGCTTCACTGTCATCTATCGTTAACAAAGCTTTTTGTGCGGTTGAAATTGACACAGCCCGCATTCCGTTGCCCCACTCTTTGTTTGCTCTAAATTATGATTTATTGACTAATGAACGAGATTTTTTGTATATATTAATATAAATCTTCAGTAATCTTTGTGATATGATTAAAGCGATAGGCAGAATATGAATGTGAGATATATATTTGATAACATTTTTGATGGAAATAGTGATTCAAATTGTTGCTCAGATCCACTATCAGTGATCTGAGCAAATAATTTGAATTGAATAACGAAATAAATAACAAACAAAGAAATACCCTCTATATTCCGTATATTTGTAAAGCGAAAAACAGAGAAGGCATGAAACGATGGCATAATCCCAATGCGTTGTAAACATGATGAAAAAGCACAGAAATGCACCAAGCAGAGCGACTGACCTAAATTACACTTTTTTCTCAGCATAAAGGTTAGAACTACCATTTATTCCCGTGAAGCAGGCTTATTTTTATGCTGAATCTTTTCATATGTAGCAATTATAGAAACATGACCAATCGGATATTAAATGAAAGGATAGGAAATATCACCATCATGCTTCAATACTACTCAATCGTTACTTCTACTCAAGATTGACAGATTTCATGAAGAGTGGCACTTACCAATGATAATATTTATAACGTGGTCTCCAATTCGGTGCCTTGATAATAGAATGCATTGCACAAATGACATTAATAAACGCATAACACATCAAGAAGAAGAAATCAACGACAGCAGCAATATGATCCATTGCACCAAGAAGTACGGCTAATTCAGCAATCAGTGTTGTTATTAACAACCTATAATAGATACTTTTAAAGTAATGAATGAAAGTACACTATCTCGCAAATATATACTTTAAAAATTCAGTTGAAATCATTGATCCAGAAATATATACAAGACAAGTGTGACTTAAATTAAGGGAACAAATTTAAAAAAACTGTTACTAATACAGGATAACTTAATTCAAACACATCAAAAGCAGAAACAATCGGGATTGATCGGGGTTTTCATAAAGAGATGTAAGCAACTGAGTACACCTAGCAATGAAGATGCTCATTAGGTAATTCGATTGTTTGGATTAATAAAATATTTAATATATACCCGTGAAAAGGTTCATTCCTTTTCGTCAATTTTCTGAAACTCTTCAATTCTGGTACCACTTCATCTTGTGCTATGCATTGAAGTAAACGAGGTGCGCCTGAAATAAAATATTCATATGCCGACAATAATCATTTTTATAAATTATTTAATTTTTTTTGGAGAAAATAAACATCCTGATGATATTGAATTATGCACAAAAACATTATTCTGAGAACGTCAATTGAAATTAAGATAGTGACAATGATTATAACAACAATGATTATTTCAAGATGGATTTAAAATTCACGAAAAATATTAGGGAGAAACACATACTGCACAAACACTGAAGAGCAGCTCCAAATGTCGAAGTAAACGAGCCAACTAATAATATCCAATGGCTTGGCCATGCTAAATTTGCTACAACCATACTACCTCCCATTGATGCTCCATACCTTCAAACACAAAACTTATTTGGAACTTAACTACTAACCCCACAATACAAGTATATTCATTGTCAGAGACTAAACAAATAATTACATAAGATGAAAATATACATAGTTTACATAATACTTACTTATCACGTAAAACATCTCCATCGATTGATGCACCAAACGTTAAAGCAAGTGCAAAATAGATAAATGAAGTGGTCAATTGCGCTCCCAATGTACCTGACGGTATTGATTTTTGGGCATTTTTGAGATCACCTGCAAATCTTTACCTCGTTTTCCTTCTAAAAGTTAGTGAGGTAAATGAAAGTAATCAAAGTAATCATCCTTCATGTATTCTGGAAAATAAAAGAGAACAGTACCGCTCATGTTAGCTCCTGTTAAAATTCCAGTAACTGCTGGAAAATAAATAGCCAGCAATACGAAGAATGTAGTTTTCACATCTTGGTACACCTCTACATGGATATTTGCTGCCTTTCCAGGCTTGTATTCACCAGCTTTCATATAATGAGGTGCTTTAAAGTTTTCTGTAAATACAAATCAAAAATTACAATTGGCAAAAGAACTAAAACAAAATCCAAATTCACATACTGATTAAAGAAAGCACTGAAGAAATCACTCAATCTGATATTGAGATAAAAAGAAAAAAATCTTAAAATTGAAAACGACCTTTTAGAACACTGCCTGAAAAACCGGGATAACCATTCACGCATTTAATGGGTAAGGAACATGTCTCATTATTGCAATATCCTGTAACGCTCCTACTTCTGAAAATTTATAGTTTGTAATGTACATCAAAAAACATTTGTGTCTAAAAATATGTTTTCTAATATCTGACATCATTTCAATAAATTGCCATTAATTAAGAAAATGTAGTTTAATATCAAATTTTCAATTCAAAGTTATTTAAAGCCGAAACTCCAAAACTACGTCTTTGTAGAGCTGAAAATAAATTATCAGAAAATGATCATGATATAAGACCTAATCGAAAAATCTTTCCGTTAAATTATATTTATGAAATATTTCAAATTTCAGGTTATCTATGCTCATTAAAATATACAATTTTCTACAATTATTAAAAACTTACATGTATTTTTCATTGCAATATCTGCAAATGTGCATAATTGATACATTTTGCGGCATGAATGCTTGCGCTTGCAATAAATGATCGCCTATTTTGCACACGCTGAAGCAAGAAAGAAACATTAGTTGCATATTCTACTTCTTTTTTACCTAATCATTATAAGATTAACTTTAATTTCAGAAGTTACTGATGAACAAATTCCACATAACTTAAATTATTTCGCGTAAATATCCTTCAATGACGACAAATAAAAATAATTTCAAACCTTTGTCCATTCTCTGGACTGAATGATTTTTCGATTCCACCAGCGAAACAGGATAGTATTGATAAAATGACACACAAAAGTGAAATCTGAAAATAATAGAATATCAAAGTTACAATAACAACATCTACAAAATTCAACACAATATTTCATCTCTAAAGAAAGCATACCGGTGCAAAAAGTTGCACAAATCGTACACCCATTGCTACAACAATAAATTCAAACAATAGTAACAATGTAGCATATATTCGTAAGTTATGCGACATCATACCAAACATGTCTGCAATAAAACAGTAAATTATACCATAGTAACTTAGTTACCCATACAACTTTCCTGTTTTATGCTTAACCTAATGAAAACAAAAATGCCCCATAAAATTACAGAAAAAATAAACTAGACAGTAAAATTATGTTCATTGAATAAGTGATAAATTCAATTTCGATTTTCAGTGATGAGGTCCCTATTTACAATTTTAAGAATGCTGGCAAATATATTACAGATTATTGGAGATGAAATAACAGTTAATGTTTATATGGTTTATTCTGTACCAACAGCAATACAATAATAATGAAAGTGAAGCAGAAAACTCTCAAAAGTCAACCTGTTTGTGACTGCACTTCTCTGCCGCCAATTGTAAGATCAGGAAAAATGTAAATCTGAAAAACGGATGAAATTTTATTTTTTGATGAAAATCAACCAGCATCAAAGAATTAAATCAATTTATTTGCAATTAAAATAATGCTAACTCGGAATCCGTAAATACAGTCAAAGCAGTTATCAGCAATATACAATAATACATACCAATAAAATTTCAACTCCACCGACCAAATACATTGATGCAGCAACTGCATTTCCAAGATAGAATAGTATTCCTATGGCTGTACCAAATTCTGTTCCAAGACTTCTCGACAACATGTAATAGGCGCCACCACTTTTGATTTCTCCATTTGTAGCTATTGCTGATAAACTGATGCTGGTGATAAAAGTCTGGAGTGAAAAGTAGTATGTCTCCGTAGAATCAAACATTATTCAAAACTTGCAATGTTTTATCGAGATAATCACTGATGACATCTTACGGAAAGAAGCGAAGAATGTTCCGAGAAGGTGATATAATGAGATTGAAAGAAACGACGGGTTACTTATATGCTTATATGAGAAATGAGGCTAAGAGCAGAATAGATAATTACTAATGATTAATTAATATTAGTTTGATGAATAATTTTTCCTCCATTAATCCTACAAGAAAAATCTGGCAGATAATTAAAGAATTGATAGAACATACAGTTAAACAACAGAGTGCAAGAAGTAGCGATGCTTGTGATATACCAGCAATTCCAACAACCCAGAAAAGTCGTATGAACATGGTTACACCCAAAATATGCTGAACTGTTGGCAAATATACACCAAATAATGTACCCAAATTTGCTGACTGAAAATCTTTCATTTTTGCAAAAGTTTTATTAAAATTGCAAAATAATATTCGTATAATATTTTCGAGCGTATAACAAAAGATTGTAAAATTGAAGTATGACCAAATCGGTATCCTCTGAGAAAATGACAAAAAAAAAAAGAATAATTTGTTTGATTACAAATGAACTGTTTGTGATAATTTAAGCTCAACATACAAATTAAAAGAATATTCTTTTAGATTAGTGAATCAGTTCAATTCTGTAAACCAAACCTTCACAGATCTTTCAAGTGCTTGAGGTTGTGTGAAAACCTTCAAGTATTGAGAAAACAGTTCAGCTGCTGTATCCTCGAAAAGCTCCAAATTTGTATGCCCCGTGCTCGGCTTAACCGTATCATCGTTCATTAAAGATGCTTCCTCATCTGATCTAAGTTCTTCTGTAAATAATCGCTTTATATATAAATTAAATGGCGAGAATTGACGAGATTTCAGCAAATACTCAATCTAACATTATCTTTGACTTGAATTATTTTAACGAACGGCAAGAATTGGTCACTTGATATGTAAGTTATCAAAAGTTTGCAACACTAGAACGATATTAAACCATCCCGTTTATTCAACTGAGACTTAAACAAATTAGTGATTTCATTTACATATCGATACGATCAATAATCATTATTGTATCACAATGAAATATCCTTTGTACTAACATCATAAATTTGATAAATAATAAAGTAAATTTTCAAACGATTATTTATGCTTGAAATGAAATCAAAACTAAACTTTCCTAACCAATTTATTGCAAAAGTAATTGCACTCCGATGAATAAGTTAAAATTGATCAAAATTACTATCGCCTTAATTAATCATTCAATTTTAATGATAACAAACCTTTAACGGTATCATCCATGGATAAAAGTAATGAAACGCCCTCATGGAAATCATTTTCCTGCATTGCTCGTAATGCAATTCGTGCTTCAACATGTTGATCAGCAATTTTTAGCGGGATTTCTGTTTTCGCAGAATCTTCCGGTAAACTGATCTCCTCGTTGCTATTCTCGCTAAACTGATCCGATATATCATCCATTGATACGTGCACATAGGAGGATTGATCGAAGACGTGCTAATCTGTAATGTGAAAAAAAAAGTAAAATGAAAGAAAACATCATGTGAATATGCATTTATGATGTCGTTAATTGATATCCAATATATTTGCATAAATGAAATACATCAATAATTCATGAATAAAAGCGATTAAACGAGAATAAAAATTAGTCGGGAATAATTGGTTGCCTAGGTAAATATTTTCTCTAACATATCCAACTTCACATATTACCTTTCACTTCTGCAAATAGAGCATAAAATAACATACTCTATATGTGTTTCTCTTTACAGCTTCCATTAAATTAAGTGTACAAAAATTTACAGATAACAGTAAATTACGGTTTGTCTTGCATGTAAATTTAGGAAAATTATCAGGTAATATGGTAATATCATTACATATATCTTCGTTTTTCTAAGCTTCTTCCACGTATTTTACGTAATTAAGTTTATAAAATGTTGCAAATATACACGTACTATCGCTTATTTTATTGTATTATATCATATTACTTTAGCTTATATTATTTAATATGAAATTCAAATTTTACAATGTTTCACTAATTGCTTAACTTATGTAATAATTTACTGTTCATTTTAAAACTGTTCAAAAGGAATACCAATGTCATAAGTATTAATCTGAAGTAATATATATGCATATGAAGGGTAACTTTCCCGTTAATGAATGATAATCACTTCACTTGAATGATAATTTTGTCCTTACAGTATGCTTAAGGTACTGTAGTGAATAATAATGAATTGATGTACATTGGATAAACTAATTTCGTTTTTTTTTTACTGGAGATGATAATTGTGAATGAAATTACTCAACTGAAAAACAATAAGTTAACAAGTATAAATCAGGTTGAATTCGAAGATCGAAATATACGGATCAAGAATTGGCACATTATAATGTCATAGCATTACCTCAACTACAAGGAGCGAACATATGCAAAACTGAAAATATGCTAAATTAAAGAGAGCTTAATGAAGTGATGCAGGATGTGTACACTGAGTAACATTTACTTCAGAGATCATGCTTTACGTAAAAGATGCTGTATCTCAGACGAATTATTCACGTAGTTTGTCGTGTTCAACGTTTTTAAATTAGAGAAGAAATTTCGGTTAATAACATAAATTATTTTATTTGTAAATACTTTGTATAAAAATATTGAAAGAAATGGATAGGTGCGCAAATGAAAGTGTAAGTTAACCGTCATCGAATATTTTCTTTCAAAATTCTAATCCCGACTTATTCAATTTCCAGTCATAATTAAATGTAGCAATCGTGCTATAAATTATATATTTCTTATATATATATTAATCCAATTTATCGTTAGCGATAAAAAGGCTAGATTTATTGTTGTTAATTTAAGAAATAAGAGTAAAAGTTTCGTGTAAATCATAAAAATAAAGATTGTAGGTTAGTTTTAGCAGGGAAATTTTTGACAATGAAAATCTCTCAATGTTTTAGGAATTCTTCGAAAAGTAAAAACTTTGATGCTTTAGAGCTTCCTTCTAATTCCAAATTCAAATTTGGTTAAATCTTTTAATTTTTTTCAAAATTCTCAGCTTCTTAAATTTTACATCCATTCTACTTTTTTTCCACTTGAATTTCAAGAAAAACATATATACATATAGTGCAAAATTTTTTTTTTTAAATTTCAATAAAAAAATAGGTTGTAGGGAAAATATGCGGAGAAGAAAAAGAAAGAAATAAGTGAATTGATAATAAGTATGTTTATGAATAGTAAACAAAATGCACAACTTGAAGGGAAGAGAGTAGTGAAAAAGAACAAAAGGATTAATAAGTATCCTAATATTTTTGCTTAATGTTAGTTGAATAAAATTGAGTAAAATTCAAAAATGCTTAAATTTCAAAAATTTCTAATCAATTTAGGAAAATGTTATTGGGAAAATTTGGTGAATGAAAAGAAGGGGTACAATTTTTCTAAACAAGAAAAAAAGAATGGAACATTTGCTTATCGATTAACCATGTGGAATGCTATTTGAAGGAAAGATGAAATAATGAACAGTGTCATATGTGTCATTTTAAATTTTAATGGATATGTAATAGTTCATGATGAAGAATGTAAGAAAATTTTCCTCTCTTCTATTAATTTTATTTGCCAAGCCTATCAAGAAATTGAGCATAAAATAACCAATTAATCGTAAAGAAAGCATTTATGAAAAATAAATTTGAAATGACAAAAAAATTTTTGTATAGGCAGAAATTCACGGAAAGAAATGTAAATTTTTAGTTTAAGAATATGGAAGATGCTTAATTTACGCTTGAAAAAAGTTGATAAAAACAAAATCGTTCCTATCGTTTCTCATTTCTTTCCTGAATTCATCGTTCGAGAAGAAAAAATAGGCTAATGTTATGCCTTATAACAAAAAAAAATAGTTTCTATCAATGAGAATTATAAAAAATTCGCAAAATATCAAAAATTGATATTTTGCGAATTTTTCAGATTATCAATTAGCTAACAGTTCTATCATCTCATAACTTTCGACCATAATAGTGATACATTTAATTCACTTATAAACCACATATCAGTTGTTCTATCACTATTATTCCGATATGTTTATCATATTAAAACGATTCTCATAACAAATTATAATGAAGTGATACGTGCTAGGTACTATGTTCACGGGGCCTGCCAATCTACGGCCTACTTTTAAATCATAAAAAAAAAAGTGGTGTATGAAATTTGAAAGCTTGTAGTTATTCGGTTTTTTTTTTAATGTTTCTATAATTTCCCTTATTATTTTAGTCCTTCTCCTTCCTGTTCCTTGATTTATTTTTTGCAATTTTATTTAAATTATATTATAATTAGCGGTTCTGAAAAATACACCAGTAATTTTTTTCAAATAATTTAAAAAATATGGCAAATAAAATGAGACAAAAGAGCAAGAAAGTCCCAATTTACTTCAAAGTAACATTTCGTACCATTCATTGCAAACACACTTGAGATATTTGACATTACAGAGTATTTATAGTTTCATCTTACAATATTGCTTAAGATTTCATTTCTTAAAATACTCTAGCATACTTGAAAGCGTACTTTTCCCTAAAATTAATTTCTTTTTTAAATTTCAAGTCTTATTAATGTTTCAGAATCCAGTTTATTTTTAGGATAAAAGCTAAGATTATCGTAACATGTGGAAATTTTTTCGTATATGATTTAAAACATCTTATCTTTATTTGAAAGACAGTTTTATTAAATTTATTAAAGATCTCTTTCAACTCAAATATAAGAAGGCTTTATAACAAATATGCAAATGAAAAGTGGAAATGATGAAAACTTTATGAATTGATAATTCATGAATCAATTCACTTTAATGAATTTTCATACTTGATGAATCTTCATCACTTCATGAAGAGATGTAGTAAATGATGAATTAAAAACTTCATGAACTAAGTCAAGAAAAACATGAATGCGTAAACAACAGCTAGAAATTCCTCAGAAAGAAATGAGATTAGCTGCAAAAGCCTGTCCTTAGGGGAAATGATGAGGAAAGTTATCAATAGAAATAGGTGTCATAGTGTAAAATGAAATGTTTTTGATGGGATAATGAAAAGAGAGTAGGCGGAAATGGAATTTTATTATATTCAAACTTCAAATCCATTCAAAATAGCTTCCTTCAAAATATAAGAAAACTTGCCTAAATTCCGCTTCTATCAATTATCTTCAAAAAATAAATGAACTTCAGTAATATGCTTGACATCATGCAAATTTGAAAATTGTTTGCTACAAAAATATTACTTAATCTTTAAAGATGTGATAATACGCCCCAAATATTTTAAGTGCTAACTGGTCAAGAAATAGAAGAATGACCAAATTAGCTTCATTGAACACAATCTCACCCTCCAAAAAAAAAAAAAAAAAAACGATTAATTTCACCTCTGTTAGTTTTATTAAAATCAGATTTAATTTCATAAATGGTACGAGTAAATTACCATTTCTGAGAGGTGCAACTAATAGCATTAACCATTAACCTCTAAATTTAGCTCTCTTTTTTTTCAAAATGTTCAATCGAGCTATTTGCTTTCTATTAAAGATTGTTTGTGAAGCAAAAAAGGAAGACTGAGAGGAGGAAATATTTTGCAAGAATGATTAACATTTCAGTTATCGTCTCAAAAATAGTCAATGACGCGTGACACACTCGACGAATAAATAGAAACTTAATTATTTCGCAAATGCTAACAACTTCCCGTTCATTCAATGTAGATCGCAGCTCATTAGCTTTTGAGAGAGCAATTTCATTGAAGATAATCTCTGAATTTAATTAAATTATATCATTTTGGTCGGATTTTAGAATTTTTAAACATATATGCTATTATTTTCTTCTAACTTATTTTTCATCATCCTTACACTCTGATGAAATATTCAAATGCCAATAATATGCAATATATATTGCAAAAAAAAAAATCAATTACTAAGTGTGAATGAAATTGAAATAGAATTCCAAAAATACGCTCAAATGTCAGATATTCCAGTAATGAAAATAAAAGTAATTGAGTAAAAGTACTGATTTAAATTA